GGGTCACCTTTCTGCACAGCAAAGACACAGAGAAAAAGCAAACAATAGACATTGATCTTATGGGTTGCAAAAATAAATACAAACAAAAAGCTCATCTGTGTCCATGATTACCTTGAATTTACTGCAGTAGATCACAGCTCCGGCTGGCTCACTGAGCTCCTTGAGCACGTTACCTAGAAATGAGAAAGTGGCTCAATATCTTAACTTTGTTCTCATTTTCGATCCTAAAAAAAAGGCCACAGTTTTTGTACCGTTTCCTCCTGCCCCCTGATCATGTATACTGCAGATTGGGTTTCCATTGCTTTTCTCCAGACAGGCCCTGAGAGCTCGATTCATCTTCTGCTCCATCTCAGCATCCCCCCTCTGGACGGCACCCAGATCCCTGTCGCTGGAGTTGTCCCCCTGCACCTACGAGACGAAATGTGTTTAAATACTCATCTGCACCTGCTGAGGCCGCTGCTAGTCTCAGTTTGATTTACTGTAGAGCCCATACTTGGACCGAAGAGGCTGCTCCTCCTCCTACACCGATCCTGTACACCGGTCCTCCGATCTTCACCACCTCCATTCCTGATCGAAAAGCACAGCAGAGGAGCAGCAAGACGCAGTGACTCACTGATCGATATGTGTGCAAATATAGCTTCTGAATTGATGAAACTCATTTCTCACGCTGCGTTAAAGCATTACCAGGCTCTGCTTCTTCTTTCTTCACATAGGCATCTTCAATAGAGCCCAGGCCACCGCTGAACATGATCGGCTTGATCCACTCCCGTCGCTCCCCGTTAGCCAGCTGCATACCGAAGGAACGAGCAAAACCTAGACAAGGGCAGAAGTACATGTTAATATAGAAGTGCTAAAACAAGTAAATGTTAGTAAATCATCCGTTTCATGAGCAACATTTCATTTTTCACTTGCAGTATTTCATTCTTTTAGGTGCAAGATTTCATTAGCATGCATGATTTTACTGCACTACATCAGAATCATTGCCAGCATTATTTCTTACTTTTCTATTCTTATCTTAGCTGACTTAATTGTATTTTCAGTAATGTATTGTACTTGCATCTTATTGCTTTTCTACGAGGCACTGCATTTATTCTCAGGGTATGTAATTTTGTTTTCTGAGCAATATCTGGTACAAGGATCTCCTTTGGGATTAATGAAGTTTTATCTCATCAATATGTAGACTTACAGAAAATAGATGATAAGAATTCATAGCTGACTGATTGTTGTGTTTAATAGGCTTCTGTTTTACAGATGCGGCGATTTGTTTTTACTTTCCCTTGTTTCACACTTAATTTATCTCAACTAAACAGCCCGAGGAAAACATTTTAATAACACACTTTGGTTTTGTTTACTTCTAAAAACTAATTTCCTACAATAATTAATTAAATATTTCATTTTCATGCCTGTGTGAATGTTGAGAATGAACCGTTTAATGTAATTTAGTTATGCATCAGTATACATAATAGTAGGCTTTCCTACCTGACAGGACGGGTTCTCCGAACTTGTTGCCGTAGTCCGATGCTCCGTCGCTGGCCTCGATGGCGACCTGCAGCGGAGGGGCGAAGCTGGACGGATACTCCCACCCTTCTCCTTCACACTCCCAGGGCAGAATGTAACCTGGAGAGAAAAGACACGTTGACTCAATTTCTGCGCAGCACAGTTTAGCTTCTGCATCTTTATTAACAACTGTGACTCAGCATTTTCTCATGTTTAGAATGGTTGACGTCAGGGTTTATTTTTGGGACCAAGTTTTATTTTCTTTTTACAAACTCTCCCATCGGGAACATCGTTTGTAGAGACGGCATCTCTTTTTACTGTTATGTCACTTAGATGTACCTTACATTTAAACACTTGCAACTGGATTGTTTCACTTCAGCAAAACACAGATCTTTTGGTCTTACACAGCCCGATTATTCTTGGCTGCAAAATGGTCTGACTGCAACTGACAACCATTCTGCTATGGACAAAAAATAAAAAATAAAATAAATCACTCTGGCTTGTTTGGATTTCTTTAAACCAATCACCGTTGAATGGCTGTTGATAATCTCAGAATGCAACAGCGTCTTTGCAAAATAGCGCCAGGGGAACTGTTTTGGTGGAACATTTGCATGCAAAACTTTAAAGTTTTATCGCAACATGTTGCTGGCCCGGAGATGGCAGCCATCATTTCCCACAATGAAGGAAATGTTGAAAACAGTTACATGTAGGTAGCGAAAAGGGACGAGAAAGTTGGACAAAATGTGTGGAGGAAACAGCAGGTCTGGCCTTGAAGTCTACATCAGATGAGATCATCAGATGTAATCAAATATTTTCAGAGCTTGCCGCTTACTTGATTCAAAACAGCTTTTTACTTGCTTAACCAAAACTCTACGGATTGACGTCCAAACTGCGTAGAACTCAGCTGCCAGTTTTCTTTTTTTATGTGGCGATGCTGTTCTAGCTTCCTGTTTCCCTGTATGTTTTAGAGATGAGTTACTCTCACTGGTTACTTTTAAAACAAATCATATCAAAACGATGACGTTTGTCATGCTTACTAAATGAGACTGTTCCAAGCTGTACAAGCAGACTACTTTGAAGAGGATGGCGCCAGATTTAAATCAGGTTCTGTTTTTGCATTTTGTAAATGCTGTCATGAAACTTTTTTATTTTATTTTTTTAAATCACATCTCATTTTAGTTTTACCTGCTTTTCCCAAAAGGTATTACTTGTTGGGTTTAATTTGCAGTCTTGTGTGAAGAGCTTTGTAACTTGTGTTTTGAAAATGTGCTGCAGATTATTACTACAGTGCAGGTCTTTAGCATCTGACCTGGGATGTGAAGGTTTCCGAAGCAATATCCTGCAGTGCCAGCGATGACGTGGCCTCCTCGTCCAGCACTCTGGACGTCTCTGATTCGGCCTCCAGTTCCCGTGGTGGCTCCACTGAACGGCGCTACGCCTAAGAAGTCCAGACAGACAGGCCTGAAAATTAGTATCTGGCAAACAGTACATGAGAAAAAAAATGGGCACTTATGTTTAAATATACACAGTGTTGTTTGTGTCCTGACCAGTCGGGAAGTTGTGCGTCTCTGCAGTGAAGATGACGTGTCGTAGTGAACGCCGTGTCTCATACGCGCTCGCTTGGGATGGATCTTTTGGATAGACACACTCGAGCTCCAAGCCTTTGATGCCACTGGACACACACACACATTTCACAGTGAGTCAGTTCGGACAAAAACACACTCGCAGCATCTGTGGTCGCCGTGCTGTTTCCAGCACTACCTGCTGTTGTCGCAGAACTTGATGACGTTGTTCTGGTTGCTGTGCCGCTGCGTGTCCATTATGAGGCTGAAAAGAGTCTCCTTCTGCTCCTGCCCGTCGATTACCATCCGCCCACGGAAGAACCAGTGACGGCTGTGCTCGCTGGGACACCGAGGTGCAAAAGAAAGAATTAGAGAATTTTAAAAAAGTACGGCACAAAGCAGTCCTGCTAATGTGCTCATTGCAGACAAACGCTACCTGTTGGACTGAGCCAGGTCAAAACACTCCACGCTGGTGGGGTTCCTTTTAATCCTCTGGAACATCGATGTGTAGTAGTCCAGATCCCAGGAGTCAAAGGCCAAACCTGCGTCAAGCACAACACACGACATCGTCATTATTTGAAAGAAAAAAAAAAAAGTCAACCACAAGGCAGCAACGATTCCGCATCACATATGACCTTTTAAACAGACGAGTTTTTAACTAATGTAACACTGATGCAACACAAACACACCTGCATGCGCCAAGAAACCCAACAACTATGACACACTGTTAATTGTGTACAGTTAATTAGATCATTTCCACAGCACTTAAACTTTAAAAACACTGTTATGATAGATTCATTATTATGGAAAGTATACACTGCCTATATTAATTTGTGTCCCGTCTATTAAACAACACGTTTAACTCAACTCGGGAAGCGAAAGAGTGAGTGCACAATAAATACTTTAAGCAGCTATAGTCTCAATAAATTTCACACATACCACTTCTTAATTATCGCCTCAATTCGCCAGATGAGCCTGGCGGAGCCTGCAAAGTATGTGCTGAAATTATTCTCATCTGTCTGAGCCGCTTGTGAATATTAATGAGGCTGAGAGAATAAGCAGAGCATGAACATAAGTACGCACACCACGTTCTGTCACTGTGGCGACTGAAACCTGTTTCATATAAAGAAGAATAACGCTGAACAAACACTGTCAGGACCAAAAAATGAAATGCATTTTTGTTATTTTAGATTACACTCCCTTAATTAGGCACAAACGACAAAAAAAATATCAAGTTCCAGGTACTTAATGAGAGGATTTGTGTCTTTCCACGACAATAAAAACTTGTGCGCCTCTTTGGAGAAGGAGAGAGAACACAAAATTCTCCTTTATGCAGTAAGACGCAGGTATAACATCGTGATGAGCAAAAACAAAAGTTGAATGTTTTTATTAATTTTTGTTAGAACAAACAGTTCTTTTTGGGAATTTTTTAAATGTGACTCGCAGAATAAAATGATTCTGATGAAATATCACAACTTCAAGGTCAGATTTGGTTAATTTTCCAGACGGCACAGATGAGCAGAAATGATCGTCATGTTTCCAACAGTCCTTAAACGGACTGTTGGAAACATGACGATCATTTCTGCTTTTACGGTTTTTGCTGCTAAATAGCGTAATTTTTTGAAGATAACGAGCCTTTTAAACCTGTCAGTGGGTTTTGGGGTTCAGAGACTTTCATTGGGACGTGTTTTCCATCAGCATGGCTCTGAATGTCACGGATATTTTGGGGGACGTGGGAAAACCTGAGCTCCCAGCCACTCTCTAACAAAAAGTAGATTTTTACATGAATCTATTAAGAGTCTGACTGAAGGTCTGCGAGTCTGGAACAGACAGTTTCTTTTTTTTTTTTTTTCTTTTAATAAGATTTTTAATTATTTTAATGGAGAAGTGAGTGATGAGTTTGGCTGGTCTCGGTCTTTCCTTCCAGTTGATTAAGGGAAGGTGAAACACAATCTCCGGGACGGCAATGTCTATAAAAGCTGCAGATTTAATAGTTGTAGCTCCACAACTGGGATTCCTCTTATCTATGGACATATGGAGATTTTAAAACATCAGACTACTCTCAAAGCAGGCAGCGCAGGAGCACCACTAGCAACACAGTTTTTTCAGAACGCCCTGTTGTCTTTGAATCTTGTTGTGTAAATGACATATTACTCGAAATATATATAATCATTTAAGTTTCAAGAATAAGAATACTTAATCTTGAGGGTTTATTCATTATATGTTATTCATTATAATGCTGATTTATAAAGATTTGTGTGCTTGTAATGTATGTTGTTCTGAAGGACAGGGTTCTCATCGTTGGGAGGAAACAGATGAGTGCGAGATAATCCGATAACCGATAACCTGGACGAGCTGCGGATGTGGACAGGATGTAAAGATATGGGGCATACATCCCAGGGAAGGAACAAACAAACAAACAGGCAGGAAGATGTGAAACAAGTTTATGTGACATTTTGTGTAACCTGTTATGTGACTGAACTGTATAAGAAAGGGTTGGAGGAAAAGGTCTTAGTCTCACTCTGTCTGATGGTAGGGAGAGTTTGACCCAGAGCTCTGTAATGCAATATTCAGTGTGAGATTAAATTGATTAATTGAGAGCGTGCTGAATTTGTTTCGTCTTTATAAACGAACACATGGAGAAAAGAGAATCTTCTCTAACAATGCCTGCATTCATCCCTTCAAGGAAACTCAACCTCACACATGCAAACAAACTGAGACGAATATGGTGGTGATTTAATCAGCCGGCAAGTCTCCCTGGATGGAGATCCTTAATGCAGTTCCAGCTCATTTCTGTGCTTGACTTCAGTCACACTGAAAAAATTGTTTAAAATTGGTGTGAGAATCTGCATTGTTTGGAAAAGCTGCAGGAAACTAGCGCTAAATTGCACCGTTAAATGCCATCCTGTTTGGTGCAACTCCTCAATACTCTAAATCTCAACAACAGAGGTGAAGAGTGCAACGTTAGCATCACACAAAGCGCCTCGTTAATGTGAAATGCGCAAAGCTGAAATAAATATTCTGACATTCTGAAGATTAGAAAGTAGTGATGCCAACTTCTCATATGTTTTGAGAAAATATTTACCAGCTGGAAACATAAAATCGTGACTGCAAATGTCAACTGACCTCCATTCAATAGCTGATCTGTTTTGGGGTTTCGTCCCATTAGACACACGCTAAACACAAACATGCACGTGTGAGAAAATGAGCGACATCACTGCTGTCCTGTGACTTCAAGCAGCTAAGTAATAACGCCGTGCATCATGTGACATCACTACATCCACTCAGTGTACTCACAGTTAGCTGCAAGACTGGAAAGAAGCATGAAGGAAGAAAAGGTCACAGTCCGTTAAATTCAATAAAAAAAAAAAAAAGAGCCTGAGTCAGAAAAGTAAAAGCAGAGCCGGAGAGAAGCTGAAGAGTCTCACCGAGTTCGTCGTTCGCTGTTTCCAAGGCCACGCGACCTTTTCCCAGGATGTCCACCTCGAACACCGACTGTGGTTTGGTTTCCACGGTGAAGGAGGTGATGGGATGTCGATAGATGCACTCCGTCATGCCATCGTACAGACACTCGATCAGCTTCTCGACGTCTCCGTTGAGCTCAGCCATGCTCTCTCCGTTCTTGGGCTGAAGCGGAGGCAGACGGATCACATCGGGAAAACAAAGTGATCAACCATCCAGAATCAGATTGTGTGTTTTTTTTCCAAACCTTGATGAGAAACCTGCGAGAAAGCTCGACTCGTGTGACGCTAGCGAGGCCGGCGCTCTGGCAGATGGACACGGCGTTCGTGGACCAGGCAGTGGAGAAGTTCAGCCTAAAAATGCAACAACAGGCAGAAAACACTTACAAGGGATTTTGTTTTTGGTGTTTAATTTACTGGTGTTGTATTTCTCTGATATCTTAGACTTAAAAAAAAATCTTGTAATTATTTATTATCTGAAGGTATTCTTTGTTTTTTTTTCACCTAATGGAATTAATTCAAATGCAAATTATGTTTGCCTACAGTCTGTCTAAACTTATTATTTCCATATTATCTACCCCTGGACACCCTGAACATCTGCCTACCTCAAAAGACCTTTAGTGTAGAAATATCTATTTTAGTTATTAGGTGCTACAGGGAGTCATAAACAATCCTACATCTTGGCAAGCATCCTTGTGTTCATCCTTGGATGCCCTTTGCTGGTTGAAACTTTTTATGTACCTGGATGTCGTCTCTACAAATTCTCCTTTTACTATGTTGGCACCAACTGGAATCTGAGTCATTTCTAATACGTTATGGCTTTTTTTTTTTTTTTTGGACTGAGACCATCTGACATTTCTTAGGAACATTAATTATCAGCCCAGGATGCATATTCATGTTATAGCTCACTCGATTTATTGAGCACAAAATCATTTCCCAGACGATAAACCCTTAATATTTTAGACAAACACTCCAGCTCTCTTCACACTGAAGTCGTCTCGGGAAACGCACTTTGATTACGGCACTTTTTAGGGGCGTGAAAAACAAATCGATGCAGTCAAGTTCAATTTTCAGATGCCTGCTGCCACCTACTAGAGCACCCTGTGAAGAACAGGATCCATACTGTGTGTTTAGATTCAATGCAGAGTCGTTGATGACACACCTCATGTGACAAAAGTTGCTTCCAAGGAGGACAAAACCTTAAATCTGATGGTCTAACGTTACGAAATACGCACAGCCAATGGGGGAAGTTTCATTTTCTGCAGCAGTTTTTAATTTGCGTTCACGAGGAACATCTTGTGCAGTGAGAGTCTTTAGTCTCTGAGATGGTAATGAACATTGCAGTCTCTAGAGTTTGGGCTTCGGATTTCTTGTCTTGGTTACTGTGGGTACGTTCCAGTACATGCTGTATAAGAAGCCAGAAAAAGATTTTGTATGACATTCAAACTGCTGCGTACCAAGCCAACTGGGGGAAAAGCAGGCTGCTGAAGCACCTAGAATGTTTCGGATCAGTCAGGCAGAGATTGAGAAAATCTTAGATGATCTGGCAAAAAAAAAAAGGTTACTGAGCAAGAAAAGGTTTCCTGAATAAGTAAGAAAGAGAGTATATGAAAAAACTGAAGCCAACAGCAGATCACCGATATTAATGCAGAGCTCTAAAAAAAAAAAAAAAAAGAGAGAGAGGATATATAGAGATGATTCCTTAAAAATTAAAAAGGACAAGATGAAGAAGGCTGAGATCTGCCTCACGCAACAGCTGGAAAAACCTCCAAAATGAAGGCTACAACTGGCCAACAGCAGCTACACAATCAAAGACTCCAGTCGGAGGAGGAGAACCCTGTCTCCTGATTGAACCACTACAAAAACATTAAGCATGAAATGAAATGAAATGAATGAAATGAAAAATACTTTATTCATCCCAGAAGGGAAATTCAATTGAAAGCAGCCAAAGTCGAGGTGAAGGATGACCTGGAGAACAAAAGACACCAGTGGCACCATGAAAGATCCTTCTGCTTTAAAACTAGATGCCGTCTGAAGGAGGAGAACGTGCAGGAAAGGGAAAAATCCACATGTGGTCATTCCAAAACACGAAAAAATCCCTGAAGTAAACTGATACCTTCAGCTCTTTGAAAGAACTGGTGGCACCACTCAAACATGGCGACTTGTTGTGTAATTCTAATGTAACATAGTGTAAAATAATTTACTGTAATAGATATGTATAGTCCTCTAGAAACATTTTTGCTGTTTCTCTCATTATGTTTCAATACATTCGTGTATAATGTGTACAAAAACTGATTAAAAACTTAAATAATATAAAAATAGAATGTTCTTTACACCTTTTCAGCAACACTGAACATAACATTCAGCACATTAAACACAGCAAACCAGAGTCAGAATTAAAAAAAAGATTTTTGAAGCAGTTTCAGGTCAGCTGTCTTTGATCGAGTAGTTTCTACTGTCATGTATTTGTGTAAGCGTATAAACATTATACATTTTGCCAATAAATGAAGGAGCTCGTGTCTCTTTCTGGTTTTTAATAAACTCAATAATTGTTCGTCTGATCTACATCAGTGTTGCTGCTGGTCACTTAAGCAAGTGTAGCATCGAGGTTGAACCTGTTTCAATAAATAGGAGCCATTTTTAGTTTTCCTTTCAGGTCTTCGGCTTGTACTGAATGTGCCACTCTGTATCAGCACCACTAACCCTCTAAAGAAATTAATTGGAGTATCCTGAGTCTTTGGTGTTGGGCAACTTTCAGACCTTTCAAATACCGTTTTATTGTAAATTAGGCATTGTGCTGCTCAAACTCCCTAAACATGATAGAGCATCATTGTTTGGTACAGACCGCAAGAAAAACAATACATCATAATTATTCCACTAAATTTGTGACTTGTTTTGCAATATCTGTCAAAATAATCACAATATGATTTTTTTTTTTTTTTGCACATGGTTTAGCTCTAGTAGAAACCAGTGATGCTACCTTGGTCCGATCTCCACCAGCTTCTCCCCGCTGCCCTCTGTGAGGTTCGGTTTCTCAGACAGCGGCTCCGCCTGCAGAGGACGACGAAACAACCAGAGGAGAATCTCCTTCTGCTCGGCACCGAGACTCTCGCAGCCTGCAGCAGAGATCAGGAAGAAGCAACAACAACATGGCAAAAAGAATGAGAGGAAACGTAAAGCAGCATGTGGAGACTCACAGAGAACCTCACAGGTGTTCACAGCATCCACATCTTTAACTGTCAACATCTTCATCATCAGCTGACAAGCTGTTGCACACTCACCTGTCAGTTCCACGTTGTAGCACAGCTCGCTCGTGATTGACAGGTGTGGGTAGAGCTTGGGTGCCCTCTCTAAGGCCCGCCCATTCACAGCTTCATTACTGTAGAACCGCACCACAGCCATGACTGATGGAGAGACCGCACACAAATCCAGGTTAAAGACCGAGAGCCTCCTCTTCATAAAGTCAATCTGCGTCTGAGATGATGGATTTT